CTCGTGCAGCGTGTCGCTGTCGGCGTGCTCACAATCACACAATCACACAGGTGCAAGCAACAGGAATGAGCCGCTGATATATGTGTCATTGTCATGTGATATTACCACCACATGACATCACGTGCATGTGCATACGCACTCCCCATCCCTCAACCAACATCATCGCCCTCCTATCACTTCCCTTCCCTCTCCCTCCTTTCGCTCTGCACTCCCACGTCGCACCACCATCACCACCACCACCATCGCCGTGTCACTTCCCTCCTTCCCCTGCTTCCCACCACTCCACACAACACAGCCCACCAACCAAGCAATCAACCGCCAACGATCATCCTCACCTGTGCCTGATGCAGCCAGCCAGCCAGCCAATGTGCCACAGCGAAGCAGAAGAAGGAACCCCAATCACATGCCACGGCCACCATCGTCATCGCTGATGGAGCAGAAAGAGAAGACGAAGGGGGGAAGAATGGTGGGCACGGGCCGTGTCCTTCCTTGTCCTCATCGGTGCAGCCCCAAACACGGTGCACAGCGCACAAGCACATGCACGGCCATCATCACAGCAGCACCAGCAGCAGCAGCGAGCCAGCCCTGCCTGCGTGAATGCCTGTGAGGCAAGGAGAAACCAACCAGAGACGAACAACAATGACCGGTGGTGGTGAGGACAGGAAAGGTGGGACAAAAGGGGCCACGCATGGGAACATGCATCATGTTGTGGGTGGGGTGCATCACCTACACAAGAACGACGAAGCAAGCACCCAACGAAGCAAGCAAGCAGGCACATCACCACATCCACCATATCCACCACTGCTGAAATACCTGTGTTGGCCGCAGTCTCGATCACGCCTCAACAGCTCCACATCACATGGGGAAGGCTGATGATGATGACGACACAGAGCAAAGGCGATTGGTTGGGAAAGGAGGAAGGGAAATCGGTTGGGGAAACCCGCACACCTCCGCCTGCAGCCACGCACACACGCACACGCACATTTGAGTTGTGTGATTGATTCATGTGAGACACACGTCAGTGCAACCACCCCACAGCCAATGACTGCTCTGATGTGTTGGCGTGCATGTGTACATGCGCGTGCGTGCGAATGAGTACTACCACCCATCACCACACCACACACACACACACACACACACACACAGCGGCAGCGTCTCACCTCGTGCCTTCTTTTCTAGCACATTTGTGTGTGCGTGTATCGTCCTGGTCGTGTCATGGGGACTCGGGAAGAGATCGGCCACCGTCCTGTGCAAAATCACACACATGCACACATGCGCAAGCACAAAGAACCAAATCAGCAAGAATGACACCACGCAGCGAGCCAGCATGGCAGAAACAAACCACATCCACCTCCTTTGTTACCTTCACATCACCCACATCATCACCTGTGCACGCACATGTCACATTCTCACCACCGCCACCACCACCACCACAAGCAGCACAAGCAGCACAACACTTGCACATGCGTGTGCGTGCGCTGTCTACATGCACCACAAGTCACTCACCACCATCATCGTCATCGTCATGCGAGGCAACGGCACATCGACGCACATTACACCCCCTGTACGTGTGCGTGTGGAGAAAGAGGTGAGTTGTCACAGAATCAGGCTGTCAACGACAACAAAACCCATTGCCACCACCAACAGACCCAACGACATCCAACCTACACCTCACAATCACACACCCCCGCACATGCTGATGTTCACACCCAACACATCACACGCCACCCACATCACCACAACCACCACCATTCATCTCACCTCCACATCCACGGCCGCAGCCGCTGCTGTTGGTGACCAACGACGACAACGAGGAGGAGGAGGAGATGGACGAGATGGACGAGAGACAGAGGGCCAGTTCATCCACAATGCAGCCAGCCATCACCTGTTGCTGCTGCTGGTGGTGTTGGTGGAAACGGTGAAAACAAACGGCCCCTTGCTGCGCCGTGTCCTTTGCTCGCTCGCTCGGCTGCTTGGTTGGTCGATTGGATGGAGATGGAATGCATGGGCCTGTGTCCAAGTCAATCGAAAAAAAGGGGGGAGAAGAAAGACACATGAGTGGACAGAACAGACAAAGAAAGTGGGAGGCGAAGAAGGAAGCACAGCGTGTCAACCACACACACACATATATATCAGTCGCCCCTCTCACCTTCATCATCGTCATCGTCATCCTCGTTGGTTCCACCGCTTCATGTGCCTCCTCAACGCTGTGAAGCGTGTGTGTGCATGCACAGAAGATGGGAGGATGCAGGGACGGATGAGGTTGACGGCGAAGCATCATCAACCACACGCCAGCCTCATCCAATCACACGCATTGTCACACAATCACACACATACATGTTGTCCCCACTCACCACCACGCACACACACACATTGCTCACCTCTTCATGAGAGCGACTGACATGTGCAATGTCTGCCTCACGCCAGATTGGGGCTTGTGTCGGCCGGCGTGTGATGTCGGCTGTGTGGTCGATGGCAATGGAGATGACGATGACAGCGGAGCTTAGGTGGAAGAGGAGAGAAAGGAGAGCGAAATGGGGAAGGTTGATGATGATGATGATGATGATGTGTCGTTCATGGCGGCTTTCTTCCCCCTCCTCTGATGTGGCCCTGGTGCCCATGCAACCAACATACAACGACAAGACACAACGATATCATCACACACAAGACACAGGCATGGCATGTGAGCACAGCAGGCGTATTCACCTTCCTGACCCTCCTCTGCTTTCCTCCTCCTCCTCCTCACACACACACACGCACACACACACACACACACACACACACATCTGCGACTGACTGCGTCGCTGTGATAGGATGTGGCCACCATGACCATGGACGTGTGTGTGTGTCCACAGCTGCTCCTCCCATTCCATCACGTGTGCACCGCCCATCATCTTCCAACGATCCTCAGGCAGTCGCCCCCCCTGCATACACATACACACACATGGCATGTGAGCGGCGCAGCTACGCTGATACACCAGGCACAGCAGCAGCAGTAACAGCAAACACCCACAGCAGCAACAGCAACACATCCACCATGTGCCAACCAAAGCATGCATGATGGGCTCACCTCGCTCACATATGGGAACACTGCATGAACACAGCAGCGACAGCCGAATCACGGTGGTTGCAGCTGCAGCAGCCGGCATGCGAGCCCGCTTCCAAGTGATGTGTGCTGGTACCTCACCACCTGTGCATGTGTGTGTGTGTGTGTGTGTGTGGTTGCAGGGAACGTGGATGGGAACAGAACACAACAGGAACAGAGCAAGCCATCACGTCAGCACAGCAGAAGAAGTGATTGACATCGCACGCACCACGTGTGCGTGTGTTAGTGTATGTGACCATCATCCCCCATCAACCCCTCTTCCCTTGTTCACTTCACCACATCCCATCACCGCCACCCCACCCCATCACACAACCAACCAACCACTCATCACCACCCACATACCATATGTGAGACGAGTGCACCTGGCACGCGTGGCAAGTATCCTCAACATCTCCCTCATCCTGCTGCTTGTGCGTGTGCATCGCCTGTAAGTGTGTTTGTGTGCGAGCACCAGCATGGTGAGTGAGTGGGAGGGAAGAGGGGCCATGGATATGTGCGAAGTCACACTGGTGGTGCCACTGCTGATGTTGTGCATGCATGTGTGTGAAGAAGAAAGGGAAGGGAGAGAAAGCAGAAAAACAGAAGGGAAGGAACAAGACATGCTGCACCCCATCCCTCCATCCATCCCTCTTCCTCACACCATCACACACCACCATGCTCTGTCACCAGCCAGCCACACCACACCACACCACACCACATCACACTCACCCAGCATCCCCCACCTCACCTCACTCATCCATCCATCCACCCAGCCAACACACATCTCCTCTCCCTTCCCCTCTTCTTCTCGCCCTCACCTCTGCTTGCTGCTGCTTCCAGCGGAAAATGCAACTTGTGCTGTCGCCACCTGTTCCCAGCAGCAGCGGGCGCAGCAGTGGACGATGGGTTGGTTGGTTGGTTGGTTGGCTGGGATGTGTTCAGCAGCAAGTGGTGGTGCATCCTCTGCTGCTGCTGCATCGGCGGTGGAGGGTGTGTTGGCTGCTGCTGCTGTTGTTGTTGTTGTGATGGCCGTCAGGGAGGGCGAGAAAGAGGCGGGGAAGACGAACAGCGGCTGCAAGGTGGAAAATGTGCAGGTGTGCAGGCAGTCGTGTGTGAGAACGAAGAATGAGACAGCGCATTAAGCAGAGCAAAGCAGGCAGCCGCACCACACACATGTACACGTTGGTGTGGGACAACAAGGGGAGACAGGAACAGCAGAGACAGCGACCACAACCACAGCACACTGGTGCGGTGCGCAGCATGCACACATACGTGCAGTGATGCACTCACGTTGCTCATCGCTTGCTTGTTTGTGTTGTGGTGTGAGTTGGTGTTGCTGTTTCCACAACCGCACAAGGGTGGCTGGATGGTCATCACATGGCAGCGCCCATCTGTTCATCCCACCACAGCAGTGGTGGTTGGTGCAGGAGGGGGTGGGGGTGACAGCTGTTGGCTCAAGGGCCCTGTTGTGTGGCGACAGCCGAAAGGAAGGAAAAACAAGCGTGGAGGGAGGAGGGTGGTGACAGTGGTGTTGAGGATAGGAAGGATGTGAGCAAACACACAAGAACATGAGAGGTGGTGATGATGGCGTATGGGTGGGTGGAGAAGAGAACATGCACGTCGACACACACACACACACACACACATGTCTGGGTGATGCAGTTCGATCATCACTTCATCCGTCAGCATGTAGTCATTTGTGGGTTGGTTGGTGGGAGTTGCCCACTGGCTCACGCATCAGCCAGCACCTGCTGCTGCTGCTGATGATGGAATACATGCATCTACACGCACCACCACAAACAAGCAAGCAACAGCAGTGAGCAGCGTGAAACACAGGCAGAGAGGAGGAGAAAGAAGGAAAAAAAAATGAGAAGGAACACAACCCCATGCACACACACACACATTGGCTGTGATGGTGGTTGATGTCATTTCCCCCTCCCTCAACTGCTCACTGTTTGAGAGGTTGCATGATCCATTCTCAGGGCCGCCGCTGCATGTCGGTGGCCGATGGCAGTTGTTCTGTCACCACACAACGGTGAGCAAGTGTGTGCGTGCGTGTGTGTGTGTGTGTGTGTGTGTGTGTGTGTGTGTGTGTGCGTGCGTGCGTGTGTGTGTGTGTGTGTGTGTGTGTGTGTGTGTGTGTGTGTGTGTGTGTGTGTGTGTGTGTGTGTGTGTGTGTGTGTGTGTGTGTGTGCATTTGTGTGTGCCACACGCAGTGGTGTGTTGGCTGTGATCCAACCACCCGTGCATGGATGGATGGATGGTGGTCCACATGTGTGTGTTGTGTGTGTGTGTGTGTTGTGTGTGTGTGTGTGTGTGTGTGTGTACACGATGACAGCGTGCGCTGCTGGTGTTGTTGTTGGTGATGATGGTGGTTGTTGCTGTGCGCAGTGTGCAAGGAGAAGAAGGTGAAGAGAAGGAGCACGGAGTGGGAGGAAGAAGTGGGAGCACTCAATCTCACCCTCACCTGTCGATGGATGGGTCATTCATGTGGTCGTTGGTTGGTTGGTTGGTTGGTTGTGCGTGGTTCATCACAGGAGAAGGAAATGGACAACGATGGATGGAAGGAAGGATGGAAGGGAGAAGGGGAGGAGAAGGGAGGAGAGACGGTGCGCACACCCTCCCTGCGTGCGTGTGTGTGCGTGTGAATGTGTGAATGTGTGAATGTGTCAGCGAGGACGACGAAGGTAAGGAAGGAAGGAAAGAAGGAAGGGAAGGGGGAACGTGCAGGCACTAGCCATGAACGAAAACCAAAGGACAGTGTGGAGCAGCAAAAGTTGTCACAGTGATCATCTGATCGATTGCCAAGCACGGCGAATTGAACCAATCAGGGGCTGTGACGTAGTGAAGCAGGACAGCCACTCAACTCAATAACAAGCAAGGAGCGCTGTTCGATAACGGGTGGTCACATTATTGCCAGGGGTGTGTAGTGTGGAGGGGCACGAGCTGGGACGAGCAGGCCAAAGCGATCAAAGGGCAACAAAAGTAAAGGCGGCCGACAAACGCAATGGCAAGTAACGCGCAAGGAAGCATGCATGGAAGAAGAAGTTAAGCCACGCGGTAACGGGTGATGTGGCGTCTCACGTCGCATAACAACAGAAATAAACATGAGAGCACAGACGGGCAAGGGGGTTGTGCATGGTCGCGTGGCAGTTCCAGAACTGGGTGTCAGTGGGCGCAGTTGGAGCTTGTGCACAGGCGACGACAGTTGGTGAGCGTCACGCCTGCATCAACACAGAGGCAGCCGCTGAAGCCTACGTTAGCACAATCGACCGAGGTCAGAGGGTTGTTGTGGAGGTCAATTGAGATCACATGGGTGATCTGGCCAAAGTCAACGGAGGTGAGGTCGTTGTCGTAGAGCTTGATGCTGCCATCCACTCTGGTGATGTTGCCGAAGTCGATGGAGATGAGGTTGTTGCTTGTGTAGGTGTGATAGACTTCGATGTCGCCGCCTACGCTCAGGATCTGCCCAAAATCGACGGAAGTAAGGTCGGTGCTGGTGAGTCTGATTTTGCCGCCCACGTTGGTGATCTGGCCAAAGTCAACAGAGGTGAGGTGATAGTTGTTTCTGAAGTCGATATCGCCACCCACGCTAGCGATTTTGCCAAAGTCGACGGAGGTGAGGTCGTTGGTGAAGAGGAGAATGTCGCCACCCACTCTTGTGATGTTGCCAAAGTCGACGGAGGTGAGATGGACATTGTTGTAGTCATAGTGGAGATCGATGTCACCGCCAACGCTGATGATCTGCCCAAAGCCAATGGACGTGAACTTGTTGCTGTCGAAGGAGATGGACCTGACGCTGGTGATGTGTCCAAAGTCAATGGTGGTGAGGTCATTATGGCTGAGGTTGATGTCACCAGCGTCGCCGGCGATCTGTCCAAAGTTGACGGAGGTGAGGTCGTTGTAGTTGAGGTAGATGGAGCTCACGCTGGTGATGTTGCCAAAGTCGATGACGGTGAGGTGATTGTGGCTGAGATCAATGCCACCACCGACGTGGGTGATTTGGTTAAAGTCGATGGAGGTGAGCTGGTTGTTGGCGAGGTTGATACTGTTGTTGAAGAACGGTACGAACCCGAAGGAGAACGAGGCCAGTTTCTTGTCGCTCATGACGAGGCCTGATCCATCGAACAACACAGTCACCTCTGGGTTGGCAAGTTGGATGTGTTGCGCTGGGGTTGAGGTGAGTGCGGCGATGAACTTCCTCGTTGCCTGCAATTCTGCCACCACATCTTCGCCGTCAATGTACACCTTGCCGACGCTGCTGCTGTTGATGTGCAGCGAGCCGTCATCCTCAAGCACCACCACGCCCTCAATGTCATCTGCTTGAGCCATGCAGAGAGGTGGGATAGCCGCCACCATAGCCATCATCATCACCACCACCACCACCACCAGGGCGGCGTTCTTGGAGCACCGCCACTGCATTTTTGATCGATCGGTGTTCCTTGTTTCTGTGGCTGTTGTTTGTGAGGCGATTGTTCACCAATATTTTCCATTAGGAATCGGCAGACTGACGTGCCTGAAATCAGTTTCCTCTCCTCCTCCAAGCACACAACAAGTCTCGCCAAGATGATGAACGGACGCGCCTCTGTTGCGTTCAGTGTTGTTGTGGTTGCGGCGGTGTGCTGGCTTGCCGGCGCACACGCTGCGACGGTTTGGCCACAGCCACTGCAGATGGCCACCACACGCGATGTGTACCACTTGGACGTCTCTTTCTTCTTCAACTCCTCCTCCACCAGCGACATCTTCTTGGCCGCCGCCCGCGTGAGTTGCGATTTTGTGTGTGTGTGTGTGTGTGTGTGTGTGTGTGTGTGTGTGTGTGTGTGTGTGTGTGTGTGTGTGTGTGTGTGTGTGTGTGTGTGTGTGTGTGTGTGTGTGTGTGTGTGTGTGTGTGTGTGTGTGTGTGTGTGTGTGTGTGTGTGTGTGGGTGTGTGTGTGTGGGTGTGTTTTTATGTATGTTTGATGTGCGTGCACCTTTGTGTGTGTATGTGTGTGTGTTTGATGTGCGAGCACCCTTGTGTTTGTATGTATGTTTGATGTGCGTGCACCTTTGTGTGTGTCTGTGTGTGTGTTTGATGTGCGAGCACCCTTGTGTTTGTATGTATGTTTGATGTGCGAGCACCCTTGTGTTTGTATGTATGTTTGATGTGCGAGCAGCCTTGTGCTTGTATGCATGTTTGATGCGCGTGCACCTTTGTGTGTGTCTGTGTGTCCACGTATATGCATGTATGGTGTACCTTTGTTTGTGTGTCTGTGCGGGATTGTTCTGCGACGCCATGCGTGTGCTTTCATGACCATCCATCCGTGGCGATCGCTCCGCTTGTTCCGTGTCCTCGTCCTCACCGCATCACCCCCCGCCTCTTTTTCTTGGTGTGCTGGCAGCGGTATGAAACTTTGATGACCCCGTTCATGGTGTCCAACGGCGACTTCACCATGTGCCAAGTCAACATCGCCTCCAAGAACGAGTCCCTGACCCTGGACACGAACGAGTCGTACTCCCTCTCCGTCTCGGTGTGTGTGTGTGTGTGTGTGAGTGTGTTGTGCATATGTGTGTGTTTGCGTGTGTGCGTAGTGGACAGAGAGAGAGAGAGAGAGAGTGTGTGTGTGTGTGTGTGTGTGTATGTGTGTGTGTGTGTGTGTGAAGTGTGGCACCCCAACCGAGGCATGGCTGAGGTCCATTGCTTTCATGCCAAACAATTCGTGTGAACGACGATCACACAACCTGCATGGCATATCCTGACTCCATGCGTTTGTGCGCGCGCTGTCGTCACTTCTGGCTTTCCTTGTGGCTTGGCTTTCTCACCCCCCTCCCACCTGTGGGTTCCTTTTGTCCATAGTCCTCTGGTGTCATCATCAATGCCGAGACGGTGTTTGGTGCCATGCACGGCATGGAGACGTTGAGCCAGCTTGTGACCCGTGATGGTGTGAATGGTACAGAGGTCAACGATTCCCCACGCTTCCGCTACCGCGCCACCATGATTGACACTTCTCGCCACTGGTACCCAGTTGTCGTGATCAAGGCGCACCTTGATGCCATGGCATACGCCAAGATGAACGGTGGGGTTGATGTTGTGTGTAGGTGTGTGTGTTTGTGTATTTGTGTGTGTGTTTGTTTGTTTGTGTGTTTGCTTGTGTGTGTGTTTGTTTGTTTGTGTGTTTGTGTGTTTGTGTATTTGTGTGTGTGTGTTTGTTTGTGTATGTGTGTGTGTTTGTTTGTTTGTGTATTTGTGTATTTGTGTGTGTGTGTTTGTGTTTGTTTTTGTTTGTTTGTTTGTTTGTTTGTGTGTGTTTGGCTGTTCATGCGTCTGTCTGTCCGTCCGTCTATCCATCTGTCCGTCCATGCGTCTGTCCGTCCATCCGTCCGTCTGTCCGTCCGTTCTTTCGCTTGCTTGTGCGTGTGCGTGTGCATATGCTAAGTTTCACACACCATTGACGTTTCGTTCACAACTCGTGTTTCTCACCCCCCCCCCCATTTTTTCGTGCTGAAGTGCTGCACTGGCACATTGTGGACGACGTGTCGTTCCCGTACGAGTCGCTCACATATCCGAAGATGAGCAAGAGCGGCGCCTTCTCGCCGTCGCACGTGTACACCCAGGCGGACATCAAGGAGCTCCTCGAGTACTACCTCGCGTAGGACCCGCACCCGTATCTCTCCTGCGGATAACAGGACCTGGCATCCCCCATGTATCGCTGTCGAAAAGGCGGAGCTTACGAGGCCCCACCTTACTGCGTTCTAAGACCTGTGAAACTTAGACTGTCGCAAGAATTCAGCACGGTAAACGTGGCCTCACGATGAGGATTATGGCCGTGAGTCAGTCCGTCTTATTTGATCCCATCGCAGGCCGTAACTGAATTCATTCGCAGTCCAAGTAACACCACAGGATGTCTACATCGAGCGCTGCTGTAAACGTTTACTGAGATGGGAGCCTTTTCTCGGCACGGCACAACATCACACGGCGTGTCGATCATCTCAATTTATAGCGGCTAGGGCTTTCTCTCCTCTCGTCGTCGTCGTCGTCGTCGTCGTCGTCGTCGTCGTCGTGTGTGTGTGTGTGTGTGTGTGTGTGTGTGTGTGTGTGTGTGTGTGTGTGTGTGTGTGTGTGTGTGTACCCTTCTGTCACTCACTCACTCTTTCACTGATTCGCTCATTCTCTTAACCCTCCTCCCCCACAAACTTGCGTCTCAACACTGCTTGCGCGTGTAGAGTTTGATACGCCGGGCCATGCCAGGGCAGGCTACAACACCGTCTCGGACCTTGTCACGCAGTGCTACAACAAGAAAGGCGAACCCGCAGGCACCGGCCCGCTCAACCCTACCCTCGACAGGTCAGGCGGTGATGCTGGCTTATGCCTGCTGCGATGATTCTGGCTTATGCCTGCTGTGGCGTGTGCACGCTGGATTTTGCTTGCGAAACACCTCATGCACAGACTGTCCTTCGATCCACTCACGTGCTTGCGGCTGTGTGTGCATGCCACCAACACCACAGCACTTATGACTTCCTCACCAAGTTCTTTGCTGAGATCAAGAACGTCTTCCCAGACAAGTTTGTCCACGTGGTAAGCACACACCACGTACTCTCTCTTCTCTCTCTCTTTCTCTCTCTCTCTCTCTCTCTCTCTCTCTCTCTTTTCTGTCTCTTGGGCATATTTGTGCTCGGAACGTGCTTTCATCATCGCCCACCAAAGTGTTTATCACACACACACACACACCAACAAACAAACACACACACACACATGTTTTGTTCACACCCTTTCTTGCCTGCTGCCAGGGTGGCGACGAGGTTGGCTTTGGCTGCTGGGAGAGCAACCCGCAGGTCAGCAAGTGGGTGAAGAACCACCCAAACATCTCCACCTACGCCGAGCTTGAGCAGTACTACGAACTCAACCTGTACGCGCACATGAGCCACCCGTGCTCTTGTTTGCTTATGCTTGATCAAGATATAGCCGCCTGTTTTGCATATTGTGACTTCGTTTGAGTTTTGCACTTATGCCGACTTGAAGCTCGCTCACATACACGACACACACACACACACACGCACACACATGCATACATGCACACACACACACAAATACACACATACACAAATTCATTCATACACAAGGCTGAACATCCTGGGCCAGCAGGGCTCGAGCTACATCTGCTGGCAGGAGATTTTCGACAACGGCATCAAGATCCTCCCTGATACCGTGAGCTGGGCATGCCTGTTGTATTGTATTGGGCAAATACAGTGCGCCGTTGAATTTCAAACTCACAAGTGAACATTCAAGCGAATGCGCGCGCGCGCACACACACACACACACTCACACTCACACTCTCAACCCCCCCCCCCCACACACACTTACTCTCTCTCTCTCTTTCACACACACACACACACACACACACACACACACTACTCACCTACTCACACACACACACACACACACACACACACACACACACACACACACACTTACTCACCTACTCACACACACAACACACACACGACTGCTGTTGGCTTTGAACCGCCAGGTGGTTGAGGTGTGGAAAGGCAACGGCTGGAACGACACAATGGCCCGCGTCACAAAGGTTCGCTTGGCATGCATCGCAGAGCACTGAGTCGCGAGCCAACAGGCCCGATTGTGGTTCCTTTTTCCTGCTCACAGCGGCTTCGCTTTTGCCCACCAGGCCGGGTACCACAGCGTGCTGAGCGCCCCCTTCTACCTGAACTACATCTCGTACGGCCAGGACTGGGTCAACTACTACAAGGTCGAGCCCACGGACTTTGACGCCCCCGAAGCAGGTGACGTCAACCGCCCCCCGGCCAGAGCGCATGCATGCGTGGATGGGGTGGAGAGTGGATGGGTTTGTTGACGAGAGGATGATGGCTGAGACCGGGAATGACACGACATCGATTGGGTTGCGATGCAATGGCTGGTGCCCAAGCATTTTCGAGAGAGTGAACACACGCACACACACACACACACAAGAGTGAAGCTGTTTCTTGTTGCTCCAAGTCTTGCTGTCATTTTTTTTTGTTTGCTTCCATCCTCACATCACAATACTGCGCTGCCCTGCTGCCACCGCCAACTGCAGACAAGGACCGGCTTGTTGGCGGGATTGAGGCTTGCATGTGGTCCGAGTACGTCGACGCCACCAACTTCATCGCCCGTTTCTGGCCCGTACGTCTACCTTGCTTGCTTGCTTGCTTGCTTGCTTGCATTGTGTGTGTGTGTGTGTGTGTGTGTGTGTGTGTGTGTGTGTGTGTGTGTGTGTGTGTGTGTGTGTGTGTGTGTGTGGGTTCATGCGTTGTATGTGTGTGTGCATATTGCGCACATTGGTTGAAACTCACTCTCACGCATGCACTCACTCATGAACGTGCACGACCACGACTGCACCACGTCCGCCTTCCGCCTTCTCCCCCTTCCATCAGCGCGCCGCTGCTGTTGCCGAGCGCGCGTGGTCTGCCAAGAACGTGACTGACGTGTCCTCGGCCGGCCCGCGCTTGCACGAGTTCCGCTGCAAGCTGAACGCCCGCGGTATCAACGCAGAGCCCGCCATGGACGGTGCCATCAACGGAGGTGCGCACGCGTACGAAAGGGAGACAGTGTGTGTGTGTGTGCGTGGGCAGGTGCTTTGCGTTTGTGTCTGCTGTTTTTTGTTTGTGTTGGTGCTTGTGTCTGTTGTTGTTTGTGTTTGTGTTTGTGTCTTTGCGTGTGGGCCATGGCTGATCGTTGCCGTTTTGGGTCGTGTGATTGACTTTGGGGCCCTTTTCGTGACCCCTTTCGACACGCTCACTCTTGTTCCCCCTCCAACACACACACACACACACACACACACACACACGCCAGGCGACTACTCGTACTGCGACAGTGAGTTTGTTCCCGTTTACCAGCCGCCGTTCTAAAGCTCCCACCTTCAATCAGGGGCTCCCGCTACAGGCACAGCTTTCCTCTCTCCTTTCCCTCTTCCCCTCTTTCCCCCTTTTCCCTCGCACACTCGCACCTGGGCACAGCCACCAACAACCGCCACGCACACTCACCTCACGCAAACTCAACACTCTTCTTTGCATCCCTGATGAGTCATCGATGGCTCTGCGTTCAAGTGCGCACTCAATTTCCTCTTGTTCTTGTGCGAAACATAAACCGCCATCGCCGATCCACCATTTTGTCGCAAGACACTGACCACCAATCCATACACAGACAGACCACTTCTCCAAACCACTGCTGCTGCTGCTGCTTCACACAAAGACCCCAAACACCAGCCCCATCGCCAGCCATGACTGATGCGCAACAGAACTTCAACAAGGCTGGCGTGCCTACGCTGTCCTTCTTTTTCCTCATCGCCATGGGCGCTGTGCTCTTCTACATGATCAAGAGCCTGACCCCACGCAACGCCGTCTCCGGCCGCCTCGCTTTGGTGCGTGTGTTTGATTTGAAGGTGATGCGGCTGGATTGGATTGGATTGGATGGTTCTCACCTATCTCACCCTTCTCACCCTTCTCACCCTTCTCACCCTTCTCACCCTTCACCCTTCACACACACACACACACACACACACACACACACACACACACACACACACACACACACACACACACACACACACAATCCTATCTCTGCTCGGTTGCAGTTTGTCAAGGGCCTGCAAGTTGCATGCGGTTTGCAGGTGATTACAGGCCTGTTCATGGTCTTCTCCGCTGCACAGAACACGGGCATCACGCTGATGATCATTCCTCTCCTCGGCATCTTCGCTCTTCACTCTCTGGTATGAGGTCGCATTGCCTGCATGCGTGTCTGCACGCGTTTCCGCTTGCTTGATTTGCACGCATCTGTCTCTGTGTCGTGTGCACCAGCCACCTGTGATGAAAGGCCTGATAACAACTGCAGCCACATGGCCATTGCCTCACCAAATGGTTTCCCTGCCCCACCTCACTCCTCCTCCTCCTCCTTCTCGTCTCCCCCTCCCTCCTTCCTCGTTCTGTTTCTGTGCCTTGTCGTGACCCTTTCTTCGTGC